CACTGAGTAAGGAAAGAAAGTCGCACTGTCTTATCGGGTGCTATCGCGCCAGCTAACAAAGGTGAGTGGCAGCAGCCGCGCATGAACGTTTGAGCAATGTTATTTACAGTGTAAAACTTATTCGGAGACGCCCTAAACGATGGGCCAAGAAAAAAACGGTGGTTCTCACTAACGATCACAATTTTGCAATTAAAAACATACATACTAATGGGTGATGTGCACAAAGTTAACATCTGGTCACGGCAACACCAAGTGACTCGATAAAAGCGTGATCACATGTACGCGTAGCGCATGGCACTAAACAGAGCTGTCGCGGGCCCTCAGTGCGCTGCCTGATGAGCAGGTGCTCTTGTCGCGAAAGGGCCTCTGCTACGCAAGAGCAATGCAGGTGACGCCACGTTCGAAATGAGAGTGCGAAGGAGAGGAGACCGAGGAAAAACGAGAGTGGAGGAGAAGAGTGTCGCTACTTTACGAAGTTCTAGGGGCTTTAGCTAAGACGACACGGTGGTGGCACCTGCCCGTCGCTTTGCGTTCTACAGCCATAGAGTTTCTCGCAATCATACTTAGAGGGAAATCTGGCGCTAGTGCTATGCATGTGCCATGCATGTAGCTCCTGCGTAATGCTTGCATTTTATCACAAAGGTAAGCCTTAATTTACTTTTATTTTTTGTTATGTTCATGATAGCTATCGTAAGAATTCTGATTAGCGACTTTTTTTGCGTTTCCGGTGCTCAGAATATTTTTTCACGGAAAATTTACTCCGCGTAATGATCGCATCCCGAAGTTGGAGTCAATTTTTTTGAAAACAAAAACAAAAATGTGATCATTATGCGAGTATATACGGTACATATCTCGTGTAGTGAGCGAAAAAACTGTGTGTGACAGTTGCATATATCTAGTCCAAGCCGAAAGGGGACTTTCGGCCAGGGGACTTTCGAAAGGTTCGGCCAAGCCGAAAGGGGACTTTGGAATGGATGGGCTGATCGCACACCAAGACACAGGTGGTCTGTTCTATCCTACATAGCAGCTTATTAGAGTATTGCATGCTCTTAAGCGGTATGTAGACATTATGCTGTCTGACCACAAATTTTTGCGAAAGCCTCTTGAGGAGTGCATGAAGCACAGCATCAATATTGTGACAAATTTACCTGTCTTGCGATGTGATCAATGTGATGAAAGCCGCAGGAGAACTTTTGTGGAATTGATATGCAAAAAATTTATGAAACCATTGCTTTCTAACTACGCATTTGACATCACTGATCGAAATGCAGTGGCCACGTTATATAAAAAAAAAAGGCCACTGTCGCACCAAGTGCTTAACTTTGAATTGTTTATATGGAGTGATGCATCTGGTGTCTCTTTGCTTTTTTTTTTTTGCTATTGAATATATAAGAACAAGGGTGACAGAAAAATTTCAACAAAGAAGTGCCTTATGCACCACAATAGACAGGGATGGATCAAGTGGCACAATGGCTCCAATTTCACAACGAGAGTGGGAAAGGGCTGAGAAGAGGGTTCCAAGTAGTACATCAGCAGGCCCAGATGGCATTCCAATTATGCTAATAAAGACATTGGGTCAGATGTCTAAACAGACTTTGAGAGAGGTAGTGAGCAGAACAATATTCGATGGTGAAGTCCCTGATGGATGGAAACTTAGGATGAGCATGATCTATAAAGGAAAGGGGGACAAAGATGACATAAACAACTACCGTCCTATAACAGTGACATCAGTGGTCTACAGGCTGGCGATGCAGATTATAAAGGAAAGACTGCAGGCATGCATAGAGGATGAAGGAGTGCTAGGGGAACTGCAGAATGGGTTTCGGAAACACAGGAGGTTGGAAGACAATCTGTTCTCACTGACGCAGTGCATCGAAATGAACCATCAAAACTCCCTAAGAAATGAAACAAACCTAGAGCAGAGGTTTATAACTACAGCTCAAGGTGCTAGGCTAGAAGGGTAGGCAGCTATTGAATATATAAGAACAAGGGTGACAGAAAAATTTCAACAAAGAAGTGCCTTATGCACCACAATAGACAGGGATGGATCAAGTGGCACAATGGCTCCAATTTCACAACGAGAGTGGGAAAGGGCTGAGAAGAGGGTTCCAAGTAGTACATCAGCAGGCCCAGATGGCATTCCAATTATGCTAATAAAGACATTGGGTCAGATGTCTAAACAGACTTTGAGAGAGGTAGTGAGCAGAACAATATTCGATGGTGAAGTCCCTGATGGATGGAAACTTAGCAGGATGAGCATGATCTATAAAGGAAAGGGGGACTAAGATGACATAAACAACTACCGTCCTATAACAGTGACATCAGTGGTCTACAGGCTGGCGATGCAGATTATAAAGGAAAGACTGCAGGCATGCATAGAGGATGAAGGAGTGCTGGGGGAACTGCAGAATGGGTTTCGGAAACACAGGAGGTTGGAAGACAATCTGTTATCGCTGACGCGGTGCATCGAAATAGCAGAAAAGGAACTCGGGCCCCTGTGGCTAGCATTTTCGGATATCAAGGGAGCGTATGATAACATGGTTCAAGAGCACTTGTGGGTAATACTAGACACAGTGGGTGTGGAAGATGGAGTCACTAATCTTTTAGAGGAAATCTATAAAATTTCAATCTGCCCAAATGTTTTAATGTTTACGGAGAAAGACTGATACAGTTTAGTGGAACAAAAATATGGAACACGGTCCCCCTAGAGATTAAAACGGCACGTAATTTCAGCATGGCATGTAAATCATTTTTTCTGTGGAGTCAAGACATGTAAGCATGTGTGTGTGATTCGATTTTCATTGTATTTTTTTAATAGGTGCCTATGTATAGAAACTAGCTGCAAGCTAATAAGTATGCATATCTGCAAGAAAAAATGTATTACTGTGTTATCTGTATCACATGATTGTTTTTTTTTTATGTTGTTACCTCAGAGCTGACCTGTACACTTTTTTATGTTGCACATTGTATTGGACCGTCCACTAGCCACTTTAGGCTATCGGTCCAAATAATCCCTGTAATTGCATATATCTATTTATGAAAATAAAGCTTCATTGATTGATTGAAAAAAAAAAAAAAGTACCAAGGTAGTTATAAAGTGGGAAAAACAGGTATCCAAGCCCACAGAGGTGAAACGGGGACTTAGGCAGGGGTGTCCACTGTCACCCTTGTTATTCATGATGTACCTACAAGGATTAGTGGCCAAATTAGAGGGAAGTAGACTTGGCTTCAACCTCTCTTTAGTCAAACAAGGAAAACTCATTGATCAGGCACTACCAGCATTAATGTACGCAGATGATATAGTGCTAATGGCCGACAACAAGGAAGATTTGCAGAGATTGATGGACATCTGCGGTAATGAGGGAGATCGGTTAGATTTTAGATTCAGTAAGAAAAAAACAGCAGTCATGATTTTTAATGATAACGAAGTTAGTGAGCTTAGAATATCTGGGCGTAAGGATAAGCAATGGTACCGAGTACCTAAGGGAACACGAAATATACGCGACGACTAAAGTTTACAGAAATGCAGCTGTGATGAAAAATAGGGCACTGTGAAATTACAATAGGTATGATGTTGTGAGAGGAATATGGAAAGGGGTCGTGGTTCCTGGGCTGACGTTCGGCAATGCGGTCTTCTGCATGAGATCAGAAGTTCAAGCAAGATTAGAAATTAAGCAACGTGGAATAGGTAGGCTTGCTATAGGAGCTCACGGGAATACACCAAATCAGGGAATACAAGGTGATATAGGATGGACATAATTTCTGGGCAGGGAAGCTAGCAGCAAGATAAAATTTGAGAAGCGATTGAGAGAAATGGTGGAGTGGTGTTGGGCTAGGAAGGTATCCAGATACTTGTACATGAAGAATGTCGATACAAAATGGAGGAAGCGAACCAGGAAGTTGACTGGTAAATACTTAGAAAACAGCAGGTGGCCAAACCAAAAAAAAACTATCGGTTAAGAAGAAAGTGAAGGAAACGGAGACTGACATGTGGAGAATTGGCATGATTAAGAAGTCCGCACAAGAGATCTATCGAACTTTTAAGGAGGAAATTGCCAAGGAAAGGATCTCTGATAATACTCGGGGTAGTTCTCTACTGTTTGAAGCCAGGACGGGAGTGTTGCGAACCAAGACATATCGGGCCAAATACGAAGGGGTAGACACGGTATTCAGTACGTGTGGAGAGGAAAAAGAAACTGCCGAACACTTGATAATGTTCTGTAAAGGGCTTCATCCTATAGTTCAGGATGATGGCGCAGAGTTTTCCAAAGCACTGGGGTTTAGGGACAGGGAGGGCAAAATAGACTTTAAACAGGTAGACTTAACTTGAAGGAGGTTATTTGATTGGTGGCTAAAGTCAAGGCACGAGTGAAAATTAAACCCTTCACTGCAAAGTAAGAATCCTCAACCACACTATTTAAAGGAAAAAAAAAAAGATAAATCTAATGATTAGTTCACTAAGTATTACGGCTAGGTGGCGCTAGCCGCCACCCGATCTAAAGAGTACAGCCACATCCATCCATCCATCCATCCTCGATGCGCTCGTTCGCCTTCGCTGGACGCATCGAGACTCTCTAACGCAGCGCTTCCAGAATACAATTCACCGACTTTCTCGCACAGAACATCAAATCAAAGTTTTGTTCACTCTCTCTACACGCAACAATATCGTCTTTCGGCGACATTTGCAGTGAAACATGCAGATACGGGGCTAATTATTTTGACCTAGTGCATTCTAGACCCTACAGTGGGTGTTCAAAACACTTTCCGCTGTGGCCAAGTTGAGCGTCATAAGTTAGTGCTAGAATAATGCATTACATACTTTCTAATTGCAATGACATACCTGCGTTTTTGATAATTACCCACGCACGTTTCTTGGGGCTCGAAACTTGAAACTATTAAACCACACTCCAAAGAACCGCTGACTTTGTAGAGGAAAGGAACAAGTAACATGCATCACTTTGTTTGGAATCATGAAAAAAAAATAAACGGCAGTACGTCACCTGCGAATGTTAGCTGCTTCTGCTTGACGGTAATTACACACATTCCTTCGTGCCGTCCACTCTGTGCATTTGACGTTCCGCGTACCATTGATACCACGAATCCTCTCGTCACTGACGCGAGTGTCTTCAGCCACGGCAGCTGCCGTGGTTCGGCGAACTCGGCGAATCTCCGCAATGTCAAAGCCACATTGGCGCTTCAATAACGGCGCATGAAAGTTCTCAGACGAGTCAACAAAATGAAAGTGGCGGGCCCGTCTACCACCACATGCGTGCCTTTTCTAGGTGTTCTGTGTCGTCAAAAGTAAAAAAAAAAAAAAAAAAAAACGCGCATTCAGCATCCTCTTGTGGCAGGCTGTGCGCAGCACAATTAGGTTCGGTTTCGAATTCGAGTTAGACGCATGGACAATTTTCTGGTGTATTTCTCTTGTCATAAATCAAGAGAGGTGTTTACTGATTGCATGTATACTGCAAGCGAGTGGTTGCATACGTTTTGAGGCAGAATATTGTGTGCAACAAATTAGTTGTCATTTCTTTGAACGTTTTTTTTTATTTCGTTTTAAGCACTGAATATCCCGCGAAGAGTGTTCTCGTATTTTTATCTAAACGTGATGTTTGACAAATGCAACGCGCGTTATGAGTGGCATATGTCAAAAAAATAATGACGATACTGCTTCAGACAGTTTTTTTTTTTGTTTTTGTAAGGCTTTCGAGGCTCTGTATGCTTGCGAGAGTTACCGCTGATTATTTTTTTGTGCCTATTGAGTGGTTGTCACCCGTTTTTTTTGTTTTTTTTTTTTGTTCAACTCGAAAGATAGGCTGAAGCCACAGGGCTGACAAATTTTCTGCGTGCTCAATGTGCACCGCTTTGGTTTCGCCTCGATTGGGGCTATTAACTTCGGTGAAACACTTCCCACTACCACTTGCCGGGTTCCCTGGGCCGGCGAAGCGGTGTTTTAAATTGCTCCGCTGCAATGTCACAGCGCCACCATCGAAAATCCCTAGAACAAAAAAGGCAGCGTCTTCTGCGCCGCGCGGCGCAGCAGTCAGCCCCACACAGAGATGGCTTGTGCACCGCACAGAAGTGACGTCCCTTTAAAAATTATTACCTAAAGCTAGTTAAATGTGTAAATTATTCGTGTGTAATGCGGTAAACCTACAAAAATTTTACTAAGCAGGTGTTGAACGAGTCAATTAGCCTAGGTTTGTTATTTAAATACATATTACAAGTATTTTAAATAAAGGGGGCACCATGGGTGCTGCGGCTGCGAAAGGTAAACACTGCGAGATGGTAGCCGCCTGCGATGTGTGTAGGTGGTGAAAACTCCGGCCTTCTGCCTTCTTCCTTTTCCTCATGAACCACTAACAACAACAAAACTCGTATGAAATCGTGACCATGGCCTAGGCCACTCCCAAGGAGAACTGGAGTGTCGTCGCTGCTTCATGTGATTGCTGGATGTTTAGTTGAACCTGGTGGTTGGAGCTAGCGCGGCCGTCCACCGCGCCGCAGCTTCATCTGAGTGTGTGCGCCATAAAGTTTCTCAGTATGATGTGCGGGTTACAGTTGTTGGACGTACGGCATTTTCTAGACTGCAATGCCAAGCGTGGTGTTGTCAAAGGTGAAAGTGTTCTTGCTGCCGAGTTTTGCTTGTCGCGAAGGACAAGGTCGACGATGAAATAAATGATTTCGCACAGTTCACGTGTGACTGACCGGACGCACATGCATGAAACCCCAGTGCGTCGGTGAAGTGTTCATAGGATGGATGGAAACAACTTTATTCTAATGTTCTTACGAAGCATGTGATCTCCGAAGGCCAGAGCTACTGCATTGCCGGCTGTTTTGTCAAGTGCGAACTCGTACGGCCGTTCCCATTCGTTGCTACGTGAATGCTCCCGTGCTGTCACAGGCCGCGCGTGGTATTCAGCTAGGCAGACAAGCTGTTATGTAGTTAGATGGGCTAACGCCGTCGGCACTTGCCCTTGGGCATTGTTTATCAAGTGCTGATCGCCTAGAACATTGCGGTGACACGTCAGTATTTTTAAAGAAAGCGGCCTGCCGGTTACCTCGTCAGGTGATGGTACACTGAGCGACATAAAAAAGTTGTCCGAGACTACGTTGCAGTGCACCTTTCTGTGATCAAAACTTTGATAAACCGTGAAAATCGACATTTCTGACACCTGTGCCAAAGAAACCAATGCAGCCAGCTGCATTCTAGTTTTTTTTTTTTTGTCTTTTTGCGTCTCGCCGATTAAGAGTACTAATTCGCAAAACACTTTATCATAATAAATATAGTCAATCCTGCAAGAGTCATCGAAGATCCAATATTAAAGGGCCTGTGGACGGGACCACCACAAGCAGCAAGTTGGGCTGATGAGGAGGCGCAAATGTTAAAACAGTACATGCGTGAACAAAAAAAAAAAAAGAGAGAGAGAAAGTACCGATAACTGCAATGGCACTTGAACCACCGACCTCACCAGTTGATGTGTTGCTTCAACCAAACACGCCACAGCTGCCGATCAGTTTGAGATGGCAAACAAGCCGGTTTTGTATTGTTGTCACGCTAAACCTAACATTTCTTGTTCACTTTTTCGTTTGGACGTAATTTTAACGGCTTTTATCGTTATCTAGACACTCCCGACTATTCAAACAAAGCGCCTAACCAAAAAATGCATGACGTCACTTCTGTGCGGTGCAGCAGCCGTTTCTGTGTGGGGGTGGCTCGTGCGCCGCGCGGCGCAGCAGTCTCTGCCAACAAAAAATTCCCAGACAACCATCTTCCTAAGTAAGATTCTGGACGACAAATAGACGCTCGCCATCGCGCGTACTCCATTGCGGTCTATGGGGGTTCCGCCCTGTTTGCGTTTGATTGCTGACAACTGAACAAATAACTATTTTACTGACAAGTGAACAAATTTTTATTATCTTTTGCACTTAAATAGCTTTTTTGAACAAATATTAATAAAATTTTGTTTTGTATAAATTATAGTTGCGTTTTATACGCAACTATAAAATATACAAAACAAAATTTTATTAATATTTGTTCAAAAAAGCTATTTGAGTGCAAAAAATAATAAAAACTTGTTCAGGTTTCAGTAAAATAGTAATTTTTCAATATTTGTACAACTGCCGCCGCAATCCAAGCCGCGCTATCAACGCGTCTAATTTTTGTCCCCTTTGGCTCTATGGACGTGTCACTCCACTGACGCGGCAGCTGTTTCTGTGTGGCACACATGCTGTGTGGGGATGGCTCGTGTGCCGAAGCAGTCCCTGAAAAATATATATGTATGGACCCATTGACATTGTGGCTTTCACAGATACGATTGTTATACCACGAGAGCAGAACGAGGACGAAGGAACGAGATAAGACGAGATAAGTTGAGACTCCTGAGGTTACTATGGGTTCCGGGACACTGTGGATTAAAAATAAATGAATTGGCCGATTCCTTAGCACGAGCCGCACTTGATGGGCCAGTTTTGTCCATACTGCCAGATGTTGAATATATCACGGCAATAAGATATCGAAAATCAGCAATCTCCACTGATACGATAAAAAAAGTAACTACATGGACAGAATATAACCACCTCATGTTTCCATGGCAACTCCACTGTAGTCAGTCCAGAAAGCTCGAAGTCTTAATTACTAAATTTTGATGTCGTGTCCCCCCCCCCCCCCCCCCCTAAACCTGTATCTACACAGAGCTGGTCAGACATCACCCCTCAGCGCATTCTGCGGAGCAATGGAATCACTAGATCATTATTTTTTGCATTGTCGCCGCTACGATATTCTTCGAAAAAGGTTACTAGTTATGCCATTTCTGAAAATAGGCGTTAGATTGACGGCGGAAACGGCGCTAAGCTTTGGCGCCTCAGTTTTGGGACATTGCCACAGGGATGCTTTCAATGCTGTTTGCGATTATATTCAGGCAACCAAGCGTATACCTTTGTGATCTTCAATCAAAAAATTATTATTTATTACTCCCCAGGGCAGAGTGAAGTAAACGCAGCTGAGTGGTAATCATAACACCTCAAATCTCAAAATTGCTTAACTTGATCTTTTTTTGTTTGCTCCTTTTATGTTGTTTTTTACATTTTTATTATTATAATACCAATTCATTACACGTAGTTAAAATGGTCACAGAAAAACTGCACTACACTTTCTTGGCCAATCCCCCTGAGTGGGTATGAGCCATCACCCCAGGGAAACAAAACAAAAAAGACGAGCATAAGACGGGTGTGTGCCAGGACGTACAGGCAACAAACAAACCGACGAGCATACCTATAGGTGTTCTGTGAGCATATCAACTTAGCCCGCTACGCTTCTAATTTACAGATAACTTGTGCGCCAACTTCGAGGTGGTATGAAAAACAAACGCTGCAGGGAAGACGGTAGTTATAGCGCGAGAACAAAGCGACGACACAGAGACAAGGACACGAAAGACACGCGTCCTTCTTGTCTCTGTGTCGTCGTTTTGTTCTCGCGCTATAACTATCGTCATGCCATACGAACTAGCCCAAGCTGCCACACTTCTAAGCTGCAGAAAAGCTCTCCTAACTTCTTTTCAGAAAGTGTTGCAACCAGCATAACGGCAAGCATAGCCTTTGTGAGTAGTTGCTGACGAAGCGTTTCTGTTTGACAATGGCCGACTTAAATTCTACGTTAGTAATGTAATACGAGGTTCCGACCAAGGTTCCGACGAAGGCACTTTATCCGAGTATGAAGGGAGGAACCATGACCTACTACACTCCTGACCTGCCCAGAGAGCACCTCTTCCAGCGCCCACGTTCTAGTTCATACCTTCTGCCGCTAGGGCCGTCACCTACGAGCGGCGTGGCGCTAGGCAGCACCTGTTCGCTGTCGTCTGCTTCAGCCATCGCTGTGGCAGTGCAAATCGTTCTTATTGTGCATGAATTGTGTATGAATGTGTAAAATATGGCAAATAAAGCGATATGATTCCTCGTCAGAGTTGGCTGCATTCGTGTGGACGTTTGAAGCAGAAATAGAACCGTAAAAAAAGCACACAAAGGGTCACAGTGGCAAGCAGACGGGAACTTTTCTACAAATGAAGGAAAATTTATTATGAAAATATTTCTTGAATGAAAACGTAGTCCAACGAGATAAAAAAACTATTGTTAGGCATTCATTGTTCACACTGAATCACGATGGTTCCAGACGATACGCATACACAAATTGCAGAAGATACGCAGAAACACAGTAGGTCGTGTGCAGAAACTTGCAGACGGCAGATAGCTGCAGTAGTCAGCTCTAATAGTGGCCGCGTGCAGTTTTTTTTTTTTTAGATGAGCTGACACCTCAAATGTAAGTATGGTGTATTGCTGCGTGCCATATTGCAAATCGGAACAAGGCAAACAAAGTAAAGTAAGTTTTCACGAGTTTCCTGCCACAGACATACGGGAAGAATGGATCGAGGCAATTGGAAGAAAAGGTGAGTCTTGTGTTTTTGAGAGTCGTTTCAATTCAGAACGAGTTGCAAGCTAGCAAGAAGCACCAGGGTGCTTTAGTAAACTTTATTTCCGTGTGTTATGCTAATTCACTGAGCTAAAAAACATGAAAGCTTTTTTAAAGTACCGCGGCTAATATGGCAGGCTCCACAAATAGTGCCAAGAAATTTAAATATAGCACACAAGAAAAAAGTAAATATACGAAATCTGTAAATTATGTAAAAATGCGTAGCGGTGGGTTGCGAGGGGTTCGAGCACCCTTCCCGAAGGCTGCCTCAACAAATGCCTCAACAAATGCTTTCGAAGAGCAGCTTTTACCTGCCGCTGTCCTTCATCAAACTATTGATGAAAAATAAAACATTATTATTATTATTATTATTATTATTATTATTATTATTATTATTATTATTATTATTATTATTATTATTATTATTATTATTATTAACTATGCTCGACAAGATGATGATAATGATGACGATAAAAACTTTATTGGGGTCGCAATGTGTTGCCCTCGATAGGCACATCACTGCCTTTACCATATCGTCTCATCGCACGGACATATAAAATCATAGAAACGCGCATCGGCCAGCGCTCCCCGTTCCAGCAGACAAACTCCCGTAGCGAAATTTGACGCACAATTTTTGTTGTGTAGGTCACAGTAAGAGTTAAAGCTTCAATTCCTGTGTCTCTCCTTGATATGCGTCCGTGGGCGTATGTGCATTATTCTCTTCTATCAATTGACTACAAGTGTAACACCTGTCCAGGGCGAGTGTCCAAGGTAAGTGCTCAACAGGGGCACTGCGTTTCACCTGACGCGTCCTAAACAACCTAAAATCAGTTTGATATTCTATTACCAATGAGTACATTATTAGTCAAAAGCTTTATGAATACTAAATTGAAGTTTTTTTAGGCTGGAATGGCAAAAACAACCATGCAGCAAGACATTTCTACGCAAATATACAGCTTTAGAAGTCAATCAACCAGTATAGCCTAACTACTAAAATGTAACACATAGCACACGTTAGCCTTTTCAGCAAAAAACAATCACACGTATAGGCAGTTTGTCACAGAAGCAGACGCATGGTATCAGTCCGTCGCCCTCCTGCCGGCCGCACAGTAGCAGACGAACAGGTTATAGGTAGCGCCACCTACGGCGAGCGATTGAACGAGAGCGGGGACACGCGCTCCCATAGGAACCCCGCTATCTGAACAGGTCAGGAGTGTAGTAGGTCATGGGAGGAACAGTCTTCTAGAGGGCGCCACTTGGCTACTGGCCGTAGGCGGCCCTCAGGACGTGAAGGTTTGGCCACCGTGTAGCTCGTGTTTTGATTTGTGTGTGCTGTCCGTCCTTGAAGTAGCTCGCCAAGTACTCATCACTTGCCGCCCTCGCTATTACCAAGTACTGGCGTAAGCTCATCCTTAGCCTACATTACTGCTCCTCTCTTGACATCGGGCTGCGGCGATGGGTAAGTCAACACATAGGCCTAAAATGTTGCGCGTGCAGTGGGCATTGCTGTTTTGCCGCGTAGCACCACGCTCGATGCACTCAAACCTTGCTTCGACCGTTGCGCGACCGGCCGAGCACGCAAAAACGCCGGGTTTCTATGAAGGGTGAGCCTAGCACGCAACCGGTTTGGGCACCGCTTCCTGGATCCATGCGAGGGCGTGTCCCCTCGGTTGGTCAGCCCTTGCTTTTGGCGTTACACTGCCGCTGATTCCAAGCTACGATGAACTTCTCTGTGCTGTGCAATCGTTGTTGATGCTTAGCGCGTCTTGTGTCCTGGCAGATAGGTCTCCAGTCGTCGACGACCGGCGCTTAGTTGCGTCGAAAGCAGTAAACTGAGTGGCCGAGAAAAGCCAGGCCGCTGTTATGCAGCCTCGATTTTGTACTTCCATGACAGCGGCTGATAGCGGACATCTGATGAACACATCAGATATCCGTGGTTTGTCAACCATTTATATCATCCGCTATGTGAAATGTCTCATTGTTTTTCTTTTCTATATGCACCTATGAAGACTTCCATGTGGTACAGAGAGGTGAACAATGAGGTGGAAAAGGCACTCACCCAAGCTTATCCTGTTCTGTCATGTCTCCTTCTCATTGTGCACCAATTAACCAAAATAGGTCGTGCCACAACATCTTTGACTGGGGGTTAATCTAGAGCTCTGCCACGAAGTGTGGCACATGTGTTCACTGAGAATGTGCTGTAGAAGTGGTGCAAAGCAGTAATGTTACAGGTGGATGTGACAAAGCTGCGTACTTGAGACATCATCACTATAAGTGATTGATTGTGCCGTTTGCCGAAACACATTTTCTTACATCCTGATTAAGGTCGTCACTTGTATGGCAGCGCTGATAAAACTACTAGCAGGTAAACTGGCACAATCCGTTGAATATCTGCTTAATGATTTGCGGCCCGTGTGCTCAGATTTGGGTGCACATTAAAGAAACCCAAGTGGTTAAAATTTCCGGAGCCCTCCACTACGTTTCTCATAATCATATGGTGGTTTTGGGATGTTAAACCCCACATATCAACGATTTGTGGCACAGTGGAGTCTTGAGTCAAGGAAGGAAGAAAAAAAAAAAGAAAAGACAAGATAGGGAATCAGACTTTTTACTAGTTTATTTTTCGCTCATCATCCAAAAATAGTGAAAGCACATTCCAAGTACTTTAATGTTCTCACCTGTAGATAGCCATCGTCCTCCCGACGCTTCTTCTTCTGAGCGGAGGGAGACACTGTGAAATGCACTGTTCTGCTGATGTTCTCTGTTGTGGTGTTCCATAGTGGTGGAGGTTCGTCAAGATCCTGACGTCCTCCTGCATTCGTGTTCTACCCGGAGCTACGATTTGGCGGCCGCCCGGCCACCCCTACTGTACACAAGAATAGATATGCACACAAAAGGAGGGTGCAGCACAAGCAAGCATCACATAGCACAATAAAAGAACTGTCATATCTTGATAGAAGTTTGACATGAGGACGAAAAAAGAAACAACGTGCAGCACTTGTCCCATTGTTTTCTTCTTCTGTCCTGGTGTTGCTGTGCTGTTTTCGAGATGGATACCAACCATCTCGCCCAAATATCTGTTCTCCAGGAGAACAGTGCAATATAAAAATAAGCATTCATGCTTGTATGAAAAGATTAAAAGGACGCATATGTCCCCCTTGTTTTGTATGTGATATGCCTCACGCGCCATGGTTTCCCCGATTCTTTATATATTCTGTGAACAGTGATGGGCAGCTGCTCGAAGCACAATGAAACAGCAGGTGCAGACCCACACCATTTTCGATTGATAAACATCAGCGTGACTACGCCCACTGCAGGGCAAAAGTCTCCCCCATAATCCGCCTATCATTTTGGTCTTGTGCTTTATGCTGCCACATTATACCTGTGAACTTTTTAATTTCATCTGCCCTCCTTACTTTCTGTCTCCCCTTCGTGCGTTTGCCTTCTCCGGGAATCCAGTCAGTTACCTTTAATGACCAGCGGTTATCCTGCCTGCGTGCCCGGCCCATGTCCATTTCTTCTTCTTGATTGCAAATATGATATCGTTAACCCCGGTTTGCTCCCTGACCCACTCTGCTCTCCTCTTGTCTCTTTAGGTTACACCTATCATTTTCCTTTCCATAACTCCCTGCATCGTCCTCAATTTAAGCTGAACCCTTTTTGTAAGCCTCCGGGTTTCCGCTCCTTAGGTAAGTACCGGCTAGATGCAGCTGTTATATAGCTTCCTCTTGATGGTTGGTGGCAGATTACCATTTATGATTTGAGAATTCTTGCCGAATGTGATCCACCCCATCCTTATTTTTCTAGTTATTTCCCTCATGGTTCGGCTCTGCAGGTACTTGTCCTAAGTAGGCATATTCCTTTACAAGTTCCAGTGTCTCTTCACCTATCACAAAGTGCTGTTTTCTTCCGACACTGTTGCACATTACTTTAGTTTTGTGCATATTAATTTTCAGACCTACTCTTTCGCTTTCTGTGTCCAGTTCAGTAATCATAAACCGTAATTTGTTCCCTTACTCATAAAGGCAATTTCATCAGCAAATCGCAGGTTACTAAGATACTCTCCATTAACTCTTATTTCTAACTTTTCCCAATCTAGGATTCTGAAAACCTCCTGTACACACGGTGTATAGCATTGGAGAGATCGTATCTCCCTGCCTTACACCCTTTCTTTATTAGTATTCTGTCGCTTTGCTTATGGAGAACTATGGTGGGTGTGGATTCACTGTAGATTTCTTCAAGTATGTTTATGTAGGGTTCGTCAATGCACTGATTCCGTAGTGCCTGCATTGCTGCTGATGTATGCATTGATAATAAATGCTCTCAAAGGCAACCATTAATGCAGTGGTCGGTTTGACCTATGCACGACTTGCCACAGCTCAACGGAACTTAAAGGGCTACTCACCAGGCCCCATACCTAATTTTAGTTAGACAGTGGAAGTTGTTGGATGTCCAATGAGGAACATTTTGCCGAAAAAATTTTTTGAATTAGTTCATCACGAGCGGAGAAAACAGGTTTTTTTGAAGTGGCACGAAACGAGCATGAGAAGAGGCGAGCTCGAAACCCTTGCCGCTCCTTTGCGTAGTCTTCGCAAGCCAAATATCTTCCCCACCCTCTCCGGCATCTGACCGAGAGGTCACGTGCCCATGGCGTGCCCAAACAAGTCCCACCCCTGAGCCTGCGAGCAGCGTTCCTTTGTTGACCAGCATTATTTTGTGTTCTCCTGCCTGTTTCTGCGGGATGGTTTGGAAACGCTGGCTTATATGCAGTAGAGTAGATGAGCACAATGAGTGCGCGAACGCGTAGGAGCGTTTCATGGCTGTCGTCTGCTCGATGCGCTCACTGTGGGGACACGAACGCATGTGAAATGCTGACACATTAGCCCCACATTTCGTTGCAATTCATGGGAAAAAAAAATGGAAAAGGACGCTCACATTCCCTTACTGCATCTCATTATTTATCTGCAGTTTTAATAATCTCTTCAAGCAACAAATTACATAAACTACACATGCCGTGTTAAATAATGTTCGTCATGTCACGTACCACTGTTTGCAATGTCAGAGCAGAGTCGTCTACGTAGAAGACCGTCACTGCATTGCCATGTACGTAGGGCCATTCATACGCACACGTGATGCCCTCATTCTCTAGGCGCGCGCCGGCAGAAGGGAGGGGGAGCAGCATTCATCTAGAAAATTTGACCCATTATCGTGGCGCGTAGCGTTGCAAATTTTGGCAGACAAGATCATGAATGCTTCATCTACGCATTGCGCTTGTCAGCTCAAAATTGTCAAACCTGGTGAGTTGCCGTTCAATAATGCCCACCATGCAACGCACTGGTCGGGCATGCCTCTTTTCATATGTCTGCTTCTTCTGCCCGCATTTCTTGCACTTCTAAACACCTCTAATTCTTTGATGGTGTAGCCAATGTTTTATCAGTTTTTTATCAGCATGGTAGAGGCTTGACAATATGTATAAGCTACCTCAAGCACTAAAGGGAATATAAAAAGCGAAATGATTTTTCACATATTAGTAAAGTACGATATCACAATCGAGGGAGCACCACTCTTACCATGACGTTACGCTTGATAAGCGAAAAAATGCGCAAAAGGAAATGCGTGCAAGACGCCACCGTGCGCTTCCCACACCAATCATCGTGATATAGTAGATTTTGATAGGTGCCATAGATCTAGCATACTGTCTCGGTGCACCGAGACGTTGAGTCCGAGAACTGACGGCGTGTGTTTTTATGCAGGAGCCAAGAGCAGGCGACCAAAACAAAAGCACGTAGTCTTCTTGAGTCCCCCTTTTCACGAGGCTGTTGGCGTGCACATCGTCTTCGTTCTTTGTTTCGGGCGCGGCATTTGCCTCCCCTTAAAAGAGCATCGCCCCGATGCTATAGCTGAGACAGTAATTTGCGCAAAAAGTCACTTTGTAGAAGCGACGGTGCCTCGCAGAGTCACTCGCTGACGTATGGTTTAATGCGCACTACGTGCACAAGCTCAGGTCGGTGCTGGCGACGCCTTGAACAGTTTGAGCTATCCAGGACGACTTCATAGGTAACGTCACTTAGTCGTCGCAGCACTCGATAAGGTCCGAAGTACCTTCTGAGCAATTTTTCGGATAGCCCCCGTCTTCGTACAGGCGTCCACACCCATACCTTGTCCCCGGTTCCGTACGTTACAGGGGTATGACGTTGGTTATAGCGGCCTGCGTCGTACTCTTGCTGTTGGTATATTCGCAGACGTGCGAGCTGCCTGGCTTCCTCTGCGCGTTGAGTAAACGCGTCAGCACTCGTTTCGTTGTCATCGCATTCGTGTGGCAGCATCGCGTCTAACATCGTTCTTACTTCTCGTCCGTAAACAAGGCTGAATGGGGTCATCCGTGTGGTTTCTTGTTTCGCAGTATTGTATGCGAACGTTATGTAAGGGAGAATCTCGTCCCAGTTTTTGTGTTCGAAG